TCGATAAGACAGGAGCCTGGAATTACTTATTTTCACAGTTCTTTTGTTATGGTGCCTCACACCCCCAGTTTGAGTGAGCAACTCATGACTCCATCAGCAATTTATAGCCTTGCTGGGCCAGCAGCTGTGCAAAAAGTGCCTCCTAAAGATAGCTGAGAGCAAAGGGACGGACCATCCTTCTGCTTTTTCAAAAGGGGAAGTTGAGAGTCAGCTGAAAACCCGGGGAAAGCTGCGTTAACTCATTTCCCCATTCTAAGCATTTCTAGCAGCAATCATGAAACTGGCCGTTGCCCTGGTAACAACCTATTTATGGAGGTTCATTAACTGAGCTCATCTATTAAAGTCATCAGCAGTGAAATATGTCAGTGGTTATAATCTGGGGCAGTACCCACACAGCTGAGAGTGAGCAGGTAAGACAAGTCAACAGGCTCATTCCCACGGGACTGAGATGGTGGCTGTTGGCTGAGGCAGGAAGGCACCATGGCATCGGGCACCATGGCATTGGGGGCATCTGGAGAGCAGCAAGGTACAAGCAGGATGAGCAGTTTCAAAATGACTCAGTGTGGAGCTAACCCTGCTCCTCTCAACATCAAGGCAACATCAGAATATTTAAGTGGGAGCGTGTAGATCCACACAGAACAACTGTGAAAACTCAAGCACGCGTCCTACAGCTCTCGCTTGCCTCCAGAATGACAGAGCACGCGCTGCTCTGAATTCATCTGCTGAATTTCAAGTTGCTCCCAAGGAACAGACACTGTAACCAATTGAATTTAAGGCTTCAAAATTTTCCTCGAAGATACAACCACCTCACCCACCCGGAGCTGGATTTCATCTGAAAGGTGTGACGGGAACTTACTTCCTTTGCTGGAATGAGTAACTGTGCTACAACACGTTCTACCTGCCTACAGAACTGCTGTTACAACTTAATTTGTTTGTAAAATTGTAAAATATTGTAAAATATGTAAATGTATACTGCAGGGACAGTCATAAAACCATCAGCAAGGTCTTTATTTCTTCATCAGGGAATAGGGTTTAGCATTTGTGCATAACACAGTCATCCCAAACTCATGCTAATAAAAGAGAAACCTTTACAATAATCTGTATCTTCTCTATAGAGATTA